AGCAGTGAAGTTGAAGATTGCAACGTAGTAAAACCACTCCCCTCACCAAGCCTGCATGTGCTGCCCTCACATAATCACTGGAGTGTATCACTAGCTAATAAGTGGGCAGGTTAACAGGGTTATGATTGCCAATGCTGATGTATAGCAGTAAATACTCCCACCACTGCAAATAGTTAATAAAAACCAGTTGAGATTGATGGTAAAGATGAGGATGAAATCAATCCTGTTATCAAACAGTTATTCTTTAAAACCTCTTGCTATTTATAGGTGAATACACGGAGCGTGTCGTATTTATCATGTAGAGACAAGCTGAGAAGAAAGCAGTGCGGATGTTGTTTTTTTTCACACGTTTATGTCTGTACCATAACATTTGTTGTAAATCTGTAATTGGTAGTCCTGTTTTCACAGCAGCAGTTTTGACATGAAATAGGGAAAACACAGGTGTTACCAATGATACAAATTAAGGTTCCATTCAAACGGAGTTCAGGGGGCATGTTGGCTCACTGGAAAGGCTCTGTTACACTGTAAGTTTAATAGATTAAAGTCTTCATTGGTAACACCTGTTCTGTAGTGTCAAGAAAAACTCCTCTAAAATGTCTTGGAAAGGTCCTGGAAACTTTTTTTAAAGAGTGGGGACCCTCCATAAAACAGTTTAGGAGAAAATCACATAACGCATAAGTATTTCTGTATTTATTTCTTAAAATGTGCTGTATGTGTGTATAATAAGTGAGTTTGTTTGAGTGATTCCTGGCAGTGTTATACTTACAAAATTGAAAAAATGAGTCAGACTTACATGTGATGTGTACGGTGGGGTAAGAACATTCAAAAGGTGCTGAACAAAGACAAAAATAGCATAGGTGGTAGGCAAAAATGAACATAATGAACCTAGGCCACCGTGGCAAGGACCCAGCCTCTGCACATGGGGTGTCAGTACTCCACCAGTACTCCACCAGTTCTCCTTCGTGTGTTTACCTTGATGCCATGGTACCTTTGGAGGAAAGGCACATTTGTCACAAATGTATAAGCCTGCTACGAACCATGAGCGAACATTTACAACACCAAACTTAAAAACTGGAACACCTAAATGAAATGCAGCATAATCATACACATTTCTCACATATGTTATGTGAGAAAAGTCTTAACAATTAAGTTGTTCTAATAAGAATTGAATTTGAAATTGAAGTTAGTGTCTTTTGAATTTTTAACTCTCACTCAAGCTCATGCATAATTCTGTCCTTCATCATCCCACTCTTTCCTCAGCTATTGTTGAGCCTGAACCTGTGCCTGTTGAAGATGTGATTGAAGCTGCTGTAGCAGAGGACACTTCTGCACCACCACCAGGTGTGTGTGTGTGTGTGTGTGTGTGATCAATGCAGGCTGACATTAATATATGCAGAGAAAGTAGATTTGTCCCATTAAAACCTCTAGTTGCATTACAGTATCTGTAATTAAAAAATGTTCTCTGTGCACTTCCAAGACCCACTTATTGTTAAATATGAAAACCTGTGTTATTTCAGTCACATCTTGATGTGTTATTGTCCTGAATTGAACATAAAATGCTAGCATTTGCTGCAACTAAGTCACAAACAGCGTTAGGACCCTAGTACAAGGTTCGGCGTGTATTGCCTCCTGCAGGATGGACCCTGCAAAACGTGTGTGTGTGTGTGTGAGAGAAGGAGAATCTGTACAACTCTCCTCTCGCTTCTTATCTCTAGAGCCTGAACCTGTGGCTGAACCAGAACCAGAACCAGAACCTGAACCAGAACCAGAGCCTGAGACTCCTGAGGTTGGTACAGTTGAATGAATTAGTGAAACAATCTGTGCTCAAGGGAAATGGCCATAGACTTGCACAAATACAAGTGTGAAGCTGCTGGTAACATTTAGGAGGTGTGTACCTTTTCAGGTGATTGAGGAGGATCCAGAGGTGCTGGAGGAGGAGGCTCCCACTGTGGAGGAGGAGGAAGACCCTGTGGAGGAGGTATGTAGTTTGTTGTTGTGCGTTGCATCATAATTGCATACCAGTTTCATTAACACTTTGCTGCGCCTGCAAACTGAAGTGTCTTTATCTTGGTGTGTGTTGGGCTGCAGGTGTTGTCTTCCCTGCAGGATAAAAAGCAAAGATCAGTGCAACCTCAGATTAATGAGCAACACATATTAGTCAATGGTCTCCATTTTATTCTTCGTATAAGCTTCTTTAGTTCTTCCAGTTTTTTTTAAGTGTGAAGCCTGTTTTTGAACTGTTGTACAGTCTGACTAATGGCTTCCAATGTCACTCATAAGGAACAGAAAGTAATAGCAGGAATTAACACCTGCAGATGTCAATATTGCTTCCTACAATCCAGAATAATGGTTGCTAATCATTTAAAACTTGTGCCTGCTGTTGGTGATGAGTGTTACTGAGTGTTAATGAACTTTTTTAGTCTCTTGTGTTTTTTGGGAAAATGTGTTTTGATCATGCTGTAATAACTACAAAACAAATTTTTCCTTCATTACATAAAATGGGTCTTAAATTGCATTCATAATCGTCTCAAAAAGCATTTGAGTTAACCAGTTGAAACCTGCAGAAACCCTGTTTTTCCATTTTACAGCTGCTATTTTATGTGTTTCTGAGGATTTATTTGCTACTTGTACCACTTATTAAAAAAATGAAAACTCCCACACACAAACTCATTATTATTTTATCGGCACATTTGTTAATTTACAACTTTTCTGTCTCTTCGACCACTACTTATCTACTTAATCACAGAACATATCCTCCATGTTTCAGTAGACAATTCAAGTTTTGCTATAAGCACAAAAGAAAATATTTGCTTTAAACAAATGATTCACAGATAAACATTAGCATTATTCAAACAGTAAATTCCTGCTGTGTAACTACTACAGTGTGCTTTTGCTAGATGGCTAACACACCCAACTTGTTTATGGTGTCTGGACCTTAGTATACCTGACCTGACTAGTATTTCTGTTGGTTTTAGTTTTTAGTGGATAGCAACTACTCCTACTTTCCCAGCAGACTTCAGACGTAATCCTAAATCTTTCTGGTTTTTGCCCTAGTCTGCCTGTACACTGAAATTGTCTGAAATCGGTCAACTGTATCTTGACTGTCCTCCAGAGTGGCTTCCAATCAGAGCAGTAACTCATTAGCAGAGAAGCTGCCCAAATCAGAAAGGGGCTGTTCAGGCAAAGGGTAGAAGCATAGCATAATGAATCATGACTCCAACTACTGGATGTCATAAACACATCGGATTGCTGTAAAAGAAATTCCTATGTTGATAGATGTTGCAGATTAAAAGTATTCTTTGCACATTTGAAACCACATTCTGCTATTACTGTGGTTCAAGGTATGATCTCTACCTTCTGAACACTTTCTAAAAATCATTCAGCACCAAGAGGCGCTAACTTGATGTCTACACAAAAGCAAGAAAATGGTTTCCTCTGATTTTGTCAAATGTATCTATCCCTGCTGTAATGGTAAATAAAAATGTGAAAAGCAATATATCTTTTTATAACCCATCACAATGTTCATTGATTCAGGCTGCTCCAGCTGAGGAGGAGCCAGCAGCTGGAGAGGTTGAGGAGGAGCCAGCAGCTGGAGAGGTTGCAGAGGAGATGATGGCAGACCAGCCTGAAGAGGTCGCAGAGGAGGAACTGGCAACAGAGGAGGCTGTGGAGGAGGAGGCTGCTGACGAGGCCGAGGGGGAACCCGCTGCAGTGGAGGAGGCCGAGGAGGTGGCCGATGATGTAGAAGCTGCAGTGGCAGAAGAAGCTGTCGAGGAGGCTGCTCCTGCAGAAGAAGCTGTTGAAGAGCCTGCTGAAGAGGAGGCAGCACCTTCAGAAGCAGCTGTCGAGGAGGTAGCGGAAGAGGAAGAGGCAGCTCCTTCAGAGGAACCTGCTGAGGAGCCTGCCGAAGAGGAGGCAGCACCCGCAGAAGAAGCCGAAGAGGGGGGGGGGCAGCACCCGCAGAGAAGCGAAAGAGGAGGCAGCACCCGCAGGAAGAAGCCGAAGAGGAGGCAGCACCCGCAGAAGAAGCCGAAGAGGAGGCAGCACCCGCAGAAGAAGCCGAAGAGGAGGCAGCACCTTTAGAGGCAGCTGTGGAGGAGGTAGCGGAAGAAGAGGCAGCTCCTGCTGAGGAGCCTGCTGCAGAGGAGGCATCTCCAGCAGAGGAAGCTGTTGAGGAGGAGGCAGCACCTTCAGACGAGCCAGCTGATGAAGAGGAGGATGCTCCTTTAGAAGAGGCTGCTGAGGAGCCCGCTGAAGAGGAGGCAGCTCCTTCAGAAGAGGGAGAGGAGGAGGCAGAAGACACAGAGGCAACTCCAGAAGAAGAAGTAGAGGAGCAGCAAACAGTACCAGGTAAAGAGGAAAGGATAAAGTAAAAAGATGAGGTATTTGGTGTCTTCAGAATATCCAATCTTTGATTTTGATTCAAGTATCTATCTTAAGGGAATAGTTCACTGTGGGAGAAATGCTTCTTCACTTTCTGGTGGCGTGTTGGATTAGAAGATTGATACCACTTCTCCCTGGTAAAGGGGAACATTTACTGATTTTACACATCAGTCTGTTTACAGGCCTTACTGCATATGTGAAAATAGTTGTAGAACTTTTGTGTCTTCTGAGGGAGCTGTGTAAAGTCTGATAAATGTGGACATAAAAAGAAGTGAGCTTACCAGACCCCTGTAGTAGTTGCTCCTTATTTCTGCTCCAGGCTCCAGGCCACTAGCATAACACAACTCAATACATTGAATAAAAAAGACAAAATCTCAGTTCTGCTACATTATTTCTGATCTTAAACTGCCCATGAATCCAACAATGTTAAAGGAGTGCTATTTCTAGGGTGTTGATTTTTAAAAAGTCTAAAATCCAATAATTGCGTTAAAATGTCTTAAAAATGATTTTGACAGCTCTTAAAAACTGATTGGATTAATAAAGTTACAGTTAATTGTATAAATCTCTTTTAAATGTTTATTTAGAAAAACGTATTGATCATGAAACCACAAAACTAAAAAGGAACCAATATTGATTTTCCTTCATATCCTTCTTTGTTTTTTTTTGTCAGTATTGATGTAAAATGGTGTCTTTAATTGCAATCATAAAAATCGTGAAAAGTTCTTAAAAAGTCCTTAAATTTAACCTATGGAAACGGCAGAAATCTTAATTTTTAAATGAAGTTACAGCCAGTAGCTACTTAGAGCTGGACCAGAAACAGGTGGAAAGAGTCTGGCTCTGTCAAATCCGCCTACCACCATCTGTAAAGCAGACTAATTAACAGCTTCTATCTTGTTTCTTTAATCTGTACAAAAACCAAAGTGTACAAACAACAGTTTTTTTTTACAGGGGTTTATGTGCGGGACTATTTCTTTGCTGGACACAGTAACTACCTGGACCATTGCTTGTTGCCTGGAAACTGCTCAGAGCCAAAAACTGGTCTGGCAACATATCCCCACCATAAAGGAACAAATTCTAGTTTTCACATTTAGTTTTTTTATCTGGATTAAACAAATGAGATATGACATGTTAATTAAGGAGCTTTAGTGGTGCTGGTAGGTGGATTTTGTTGACCATTAGCTAGGCTAGCAGTATCCACCTGTTCCCAGTCTTTGTGCTGGCTGTAGCCTTATGTTAGAGTGGTGTCGTTCTTCTGTTTGCCAGAAAGTGAATAACCGCATTTCCCAAATTCCTGAGCTTTAATATGTGAAACTCCACTACAGGACTTTAGGAAGAAAAGTGCTGACACAGATTTGCGCAGCTTTAAACTGTAAGAGCTTATGATAAGAGCGCTGGGGTCTGCTGGCCATCTGCTTTGATGGCTCGGACAATGAAATAGTTGTGTCTGGTTCCTGGCAACAGTTTGTCAACAACTTCTGGCAGACTAGGATCCAATTGAAGGTGTTCAACAATGGATAAAGTAGATTTATCGGCACTGATAAGTGCACCATCAGGACAGATTAAAGTTCAGGAGACTCATTTTATAAGGGTCAACAAGAAAATGTGACACCATTAGACACTATAATAGTAAACTAGTAGCATTATTCTGGGAAATGAGACTTAAGTTTTCTCCCACTCTTGAGATAATATGCTGCAGTGTTAGAAGAAATCACTAAACATAGTGTCCGTCAGCTGTTAGCATTGGCGCTGATGATCTAAGGATGGTTTCTTGGTGTCAGTGTGGTACCAGTGCTGAAGATACGTGTTCACTGACTCTGGTTTTGGGAGCAGTTGTTCATCATTTCAAATGTTTATCGTCCCACAGTCACAGAGACAGAAGAAGTAGCAGCAGCATACGAGGCAGAGGAGGCAGCAGAAGAAGGTGGGTATGCGCACACACACACACAC